CATGTGGCTGGCGGCCCAGGATGTGCTGGGTCCTCTCTATGGATTTTCTTAACTATGGCAGGCATTCTTGCTGTGTCCAGAAGCTGGCATCCTGTGCACAGGTGCACCTGTTTGCTTTCCCTCTTCCCCTTGTGGGGGTGGAGTTAGAGCATAAGCATGGCAGCTGCAGGGTTTTGTAAGTGCTTTTGTAAAGCAGCTGACTTAAAGTTACTTTAGACTGAGAAGACTGGCAAACTAGTTGGAATAACTTAAGTCGTAAGGTACCATGCTACAGGTTTTTCATGGGAGGCAGGGTCCCAGTAAGCCCAGGGAGGGGAAGGCAGACAGAGACAAAGGACATGTGGTGAGACCATGGAAGAGGCAAAAAGGTGTGCTGACATCTTAGGTAAGGGAGGGGAAGGCAGAGCCTGGAGGCATGACGCATGCTTAAGGGATTAGCCATCACCTGTGTCTCTAGGTTGCTCCCATTGATTGGTACTGGCAAGCTCTCAGCAAAACGAAACCTCCACTCTCTGGTCACCGAATAAATCCGGGGCTTGGTCTCAGCCCACAGGAAGGGAGCATGAGCTCTCCCAGAGCTGGAACCGCCTTGAGGCCAGAATTGGCAAGGAGTGGCTTGCTTAACTCCATGATGGGGAAAGTTTTTCAGGAAGATAGGAGGAGATAGGTATGGTAAGCAGTGCAAGAAGTCTGTTTACATGGGGAAGGAGGAGGTTTGGGAGAGGAATTGGCTGATTTAGAAACTTGTTTACAGGCTAATAGAATCTGTGCAGGGGAACAGAAAGTACAGAAGGAGGGTTCAAGGGCAAGAAGCACATGTTTTGGCTTGCAAGTGGTCCAGAGAGCTGGATTTAGATGGAGGTATGAAAAGCTTGGATATAATGGAATCTCTCCCCATCATCCCGATCACTCACAGTAGTTATATGTCCCATAAAAGGTTGGGATCTAAAGACCCAAAAAGGGGCCAGAGATTTTGGTTGTCTAAAGGATAAGTAGGCCAGATTTGAGTGCAAAAGCAGATCAAATTTTTTGGTTTTATATCTGGAGTCAAACCCAAAGTGTCCAAAATATTGAAGAGGCATCTCAGTGGGGAGTCAGATGGCAAAGAGGATGTAGAGGACCCATTGTGTGGGACCTGGTCCCATAATGGGGGTGGTATTATGAATCGTGGGGCATCCCCACGTGACTCAAATACCCAAGAACAGCACGAGGCACACGAGAATCAGTTGTCACCTTGTTCTAGTGGCACGCAAGGCCAAAGGGCCGAGGGCTATGGGTCACCTGGGCCCAGGCTTTTTGATGATGGGTTTCTGAGACCCGCGACAAAATGGATCCAAGCCCGACAAGGAAGGGAATCCCTCTACCACCTGAGCCCCCCAGACAGCCAAACAGGGGGAGTGTTTGAAAATCCCAGAGACACCGAAGGGAGAGACTGCAAAGGGAGCTCAAGAAGAGTATGTGGACTCACCAAAGAATGTCCAGTGTTGGATGAGAGTGAGGGTGATTGGGAGGATGAGTCCTGGCCAGTCACGTCCTCAGGGTGGTCATGGGGTGAGTTGGAATTGGGGTCCCACCAGGATTAGTGGGGAGACCTGATCCGAGTCAAGGCACAAAATGTAGGCAAATATAGGCCCCAAAGTGACCATGTGGAGAGGAGTGATCTGGCCAAGAGATTCTTTATTGCCGGGTGGGAGAAGGAGAGAGCCAAAAGAGAAAGAGAAAGAGGGGCAGGGGCTTAAATACCCCTCAGTGAGATTCAACATGATCTGATTGGTTAGGATCTTATGGTTCATGCTGTTTGGAGGTTGGGGCAGAAGGAGAATTCAAGCTAGACTTGAAGCAGGACCGTGACCCTGGGAAACAGAAGTTTAAGGGTGCAGTAAGAACCAAAACCCATCGGTGCTATTATTGCCAACAGTGTGGGTACCTTCCATCAAAGACCATTAGGCACAACGTATAAGTCAAGGCGTTGGGAAGAACAAGCACCAACTGGTGCTGTGAACTTCCCAGAAGGAATGATAGAAAGAAATGCTGTAGGATTCAGGATGTCCCCAGGAAGCTCTAGTTGGGTGTTGTCTGAGCAAGAGCAATTCAATGATTAAGCAGCACAATAAATCTCATAGTGAGTAGAGATAAACATAAAGGTAAATGTGTAATTGGTAAATAAGTAACTGTCATTTAACCAGGGAAAGATATGTTTGTAGATTGCAAAATAATTTTTTTTGGTAGTACTGGGGTTTGAATTAGGGGCTTCGTGCTTGCTAGGCAGGCACGTGCCACGTGAGCTGCACTTCCAGCCTTGATCTTGTTTTTTTGATCTCACAGTGACCTTGTCCATGTTGATGTTTTATGAGATTTTGTCCAACAGGACAATCTGGACTAGCATGAAGATCAAGCCAGTTTACAGAAACACTAAGGCTTAGACATGAGAGTCAGGCCAGTTCCAGGATCTCAGGTGCTGCTTTGTCTCTGAAATGGGTGATAGTGTCTTTGTGCAGCCATAGGCAGTAGCTTCTTGCTTGAGCCCAGGTAAGGGAGAGGAGCTCTCTTGAAAATCATTCTATCTCAGCGTCTGCTCCTCAGAGGGGAGCATCTTCAGCCTGCACCCCTGCCTGGTTTTTGTGACACTTGTCCCCACTCCTATATGGTTGACTCAGATCTGTCCCCAGATCCCAGGGAACAGCACTGCTCTGCTCTGTTCACTCTTCCATCTGTTTATTACTTTGTTTTTCTGTAAAGAGGAATTGCTCTGTTTCTTATCTACAGACATTTCCTCCTTACCTTTGAGTGCTCTTAATATTTTGTGCCTCAATTTGCACAAAATATTTGGAGTTTAAGGAATGGATTTCAGAGTGAACACAGCTGCACTCTTGGGAAAAGCCAAAGGTCTTTTTGTGGCTTTCTATGGGATGAAGATTTCTAAGACATGTCACTCCCCAGAAATTTCATATTCAGTGGGGCCCTTGGTTATATTGGGACTTATTTTCTAAGTACTTTCAGGGATGGGCTAGGTTGTGCACTTCTGAAGACCAATTTCTCTGTCCCATAAATGGCAACATTAAAAAATAAGAAGTGTAGTATGGTGGAATGGTGCCTGTAGTCCCAGGTACTTATGAGGCTGAGGGAGGATTGTTTGAGCCCTGGAATTTGGGGGCAGCCTGAGCAAAATAGACTCCCCTAACTCAAAAAGCAAAACCAAACAAACAATACACCCAGAAGAGAATGTTTCTGGGATCTTGTTTTCTGAACAGCCTTTCACCATCATTCAACAAACAAGATCAAGTATTGATTCAGGAATAATAAGCCACCTGCTGTTAATTTAGCCTTTTGACCTGGGGGAGAACAATATTGGGGGAGTTTCTAATACCTAGACAGCATTTTCTCACTAGCGTTTATGCCCAGAATGACTGAACCATTTTTTTTTCAAGAGGCATGTCCTATACTTTGTCAAGCTGGAGTTAGACTCAGCAGCATTGGTTTCTCAGTGCTCTATTGAAAAAGGGAGTCTAGAATGGAGAAATTATGGCGCAAGCCTCATATTCATAGGGAATGTTTAGGGGTCTGATCAGCTTACTAAAAACTAGGCAGCTCTATGGGGAGGAGGGACTCACAGGGACTTGGGACAACAGACAGAGGACAACTGCAGAGGAGGAGAATCCTGAAACTTATAGTGGATTCAAAAACACAAGAGGATTATGGGTATAGGACCCAGGAGTCCCCTCATTCAGGCACTCTCAGCCCCACATTCTCCTGGGCACAAAGACACATCACATGATTGCAAGGCTAATCATTTATTGAACAAGGAGAGGAAGATCTTATTCACATAAAATCACCCTGAACATGGCAAATGGAGAAAAGAAAGCCTTTGATTCTTGGTGAGTTGATGAGTCATCCTAGACAATTATGGGGATGCAGGAATGTCACCTTCACATGTGATAGTGATGGAAATCAGGTCACAGAACTTAACAAAGGATCCCTGGGGATGAGAAAGGGATGACACTGGAGCCCCAGTGAGGAAGCTCTCACTCAGCACTAAATAAACAGAAGAGAAAGAGAACACAGACTCTTATTAAACATTCCTTGGATTGAATTGAGGACAAAGAGAAATTCTATTACAGAGAAAAATGGTGACTAGAGCCCACCCACATGTTTTTTTTCAAAAATAGGGGGAGGAAGGGTGCCAATTAAATGACTTTTTTTCTATTGCTGATTTCATTTTAACCTCCCCACTTACTGAATCTATGAAAAACAGAAAGGAAGTAATGAAGCATCTCAGGCTTGTTTCTGCCATATTCAGCATAAGAAGTTTTAAGGAATTTTTGTAAATTAAAGAATAGTGATTAAAAAAAAACCCACAGCTAAGTTTATTCAATGCTTACTTTACCCAGTTTCTAAGGCTTTCACATACATTATTTGACTGAAGTCTCACAATCAATCTGAGATAGGAGACAAATGAGGAAACGAAGTTTATGCCCCAGATTGGAGGACAATGGGAGGCCAGACAGCTCCAATCTCAGATGAGAGTTCAAGGAGGTGCAGAGTTAAAGAAAGACATTGTTTGCATACATTGGAGGAAGAGATGGAATCCTCACCTTGGAAGATGGACCACAAACGCAGACATGTATTTATCTGAGTCTCATACTGTCTATCGCCCGCTACTCTCTCCTGCCAGACTTCAAGTCTTAAGATCTTTAGCACATTGTCAATACCTGAGCCCTTTTTACCTGAGCCTTTTTTATTACATCCACATAGCAATTCTGTAAGACAAACATCATTACTTGATTTTTCAATTGCTCAGGTCATTTGCTCAAAAGCTCCATATAGGACTCAGTCCTGAACCCATTCATCCAACTCCAAATTTCACACTCTTCCATAAGCCTCCTTACCAAATTATGCTTATAGTAATCTTTAGGCACAAACCCCTGTTGCATTTGGAAGATCTTGGTCCCTGGTTCAATCCCCCCAGATCCCCCTTCTCCAGAGACCACCAACCTGGAGGCTTAGGCCTCTTGTCCATCTCTGGCCTGAAGACAGCGATCTGCAGAGGCAGAGCAGAGCACATTCAGTCACCAGCTGCACTTTGTTTCCTTGAGAGACACCAGGTGATCCCCCAGCATGGGACAAAGGGGACTGGTTACCTTGCCTCGGATTTTTCCCTTCTGGGACATAGAATTCATGAAGGGAACTTGGATAGGTAAACTTACCAACTTTGGTCAGGTCCAGTATGTTTTCCTTAACAATTCCATGTTCTTCACAAAATTTCACAACCTTTTCCTTGATTTCTGAACTCACATCTGGTTCTCGGCCTGTGGGAGGAGTGACAGAAACTGCTGTGTCCTGGGTACTAGCTGTAAAGGTAAAGGAGGGGACAGGTTTCCAGAAGAGTAGAAATGGGTGGTAATATTAGGTACTCAGGAAGAATGCTGGGGATGAAGATAACCTATCCTGACTTTGACATCAGTAGGGTATCTTTGTGGCCCACTGAGATTTATACTGTTCCTGTCACTGACCTGAGGGATTGCCAAAGGTAAATAGCCATCTTCTGTGAGAGAAAGATAGTCCAGGATAAGATTGGGGAGACCATTTTGTATCTAGATTTCCTTTTTTCCCTTCATTCCCTACCCTAAGATAACGTGACATAAAAATACTCTACCATAGAGTTCCACCAGTTGGAATGTTTCCTCATTGTTGACATTCACGAGATAAAAAACAATATATTTATCATAGACCACATCAGCTACGGTAAATATATTGAACCCATCATCTGTGGAGAAAGCAGAACACAGCTCAGAACTTCTTTGGTGCTGGAAATACTGAAAACCATTTGCGAAATTTAGCCTACAAAAACTTGAAATACATATTCTGGAAAATATACAGTGAAGATGTCTAATGGCTTTCATTTGCATTTCCCTGGCTTCATGAAGTGATTTCTAACTAAAGGAAAACTGTTAGACTGACTACTAGTGTGTAGAATATTTAGCACAGAGGTAACTCATCCTCTCTGAGACCCATCTCCTTCCCTCAGGAAGGAAGGAGTCTTTCTGATGAGTCTCTGTCCTCTCTAAGCCCACTGGCATCACATATCTGCTGTTGCATCCTGAGCAGTGAGCTATGTCGATGGCAACCAGGTATCATCAGGCAGATGGCAGGAAATGGGAAGCTATCTTACCCAGTTTATTGGTTTTTTTCCTGCCCACTAACTTTCGTTGCAGGAGGTACATATGCCCAAGTTGCCTTCCTTCCCCGATCGTATTATGTGCTAGGCATTAGCTTTTGCACAGGAGTCAGGATACTGACTGTTAGGGGGGACTCTTATGTTACCCAAATAAGCATTGATAGCGAATCAATGAAGATCCTAAAGATATAGGGTTCAATAAGTTCCTTGCAGTTGAAAATATAATTTAGAAAGACTTTTATATACTTACACTGAACAGCATATACACGATCCTTGTCTGTTTTCTCAGAAACCAAAAAAATTTCAGTGCACTTGCCATTTACACTGTAAAACAGAATGAGTGAATATCCAGGAGATGGATGAAGCTGGCTTTCTTACCTTCTACTCTGCCCATAACCTGAATTTCTAGATCCACTCATCTTATGAACGTTTTTATACAATTATCAGTTTTTATTTACATTATTTTACTTAATTTGATACTTATGAATGACTTAAATAAATACTTCCTATCACTAGTACTACTACCACTACTTCCCACCATTACTGTCACTGTACTGTAGACATCGGTCTCGATCATTAGCTGAATGCTCACATTTGCAGTCTCACTAATTAGAGTGTTACAAATATTAGTGATGTCTCCCTCCCCAAAAATCATGAGAGAAAAAATCATAAGAGAGAATTATCATCACGCACACCCCCCCCCGCCTTTTACTCTGGAAAATCAAGGTGGATACAGATGAATTTTCTTGGTTAACTACTAATAAATAGATTTACATTCCAGATTCCATGCTTTTAACCTATGCTGTATTTGTCACACTAAACATGATTCTGTTTTCACGCTACCTATTACCTCCCCCACTTCCAATACATTTATTCTGTGACCAACTATTGTCCCTGAAACTTGAAAAGCCCCTGGTCTATCAAGATCTGGGTCATTGTCAGATGAGAGACTGGTTTTGAACACAGGCTCAGCATGCCTCTCTGTGTGTGTGTGTGCATGTGTGTGTAGAAACACACCCATGTTTCTGTGTTCCCTTTCCCAACTAATGAATTCAACACTTACATGGTGTGGAATTTAAAGAATAAGGAAGAGTTCTTCAAGACATCAATATATTCCACAAAAACTCTCATGCTACCATTTTCTTCTATCTTTTCCTTTTCATCAGAGGCCAACAGAATGGAATACCACTTCCCTTTAATCTGCAATAAATAAGTGAAACAATTGAGAAAAGTGAAAGAATAGCACATGGACACTTTTCTCCTTGAACTCTGGCCTTTGGACTGAGATTTATAATGTAATTTGCAGATGGAATTAGAACTCAAGTCAACTGTTAGACCATGAGGACTCTTTCCAGTGACCCTCCAGTAAGAATGGAGATCCCCAAGAATTGTCATATTTTAATGTGGTGTAACTTCTCTTAGTTTAGGGTCTTCGACTACTCCTTAAGTCTAATGTTAAAGAATATCTGTCCCTCAAAGGCCCCACCTGGCTTCAGAATCCCCCAAACCACCTCCCAAAGTCAGAAGTTGCTCTGCTCCATGACTCTACCTTTGACGGATCAAAGTTCTTTTCCACATAATCATTTTTAATTTCATTGGCACAGACTAGGGTCAGCCCCAGACATAAGATCAGCAGCTTCATCTTTGTAGTGGATGTAACTGTCGCCCTTCAGCCCCCAGAGCAAGTCTTTCCCTAATGGTGGTTCCACTCCCCAGCTGTTTTGTCGTTATATATACTTCCTGGGTGCTTAAACCCTGAGTCCCCACATTTCCGCCTCCCTGTCTGTGAAATGGTCTTTCATTCTCTGGTGGGAAGCCAAGGATTGTTCCTGCCCTTTGAAACTTGGCAATCCTAGCTCTTTCATTTAGTGACTTTCCATTTCTCAAAACACATTGTCAAGAAAAACAGTGGATGATCTAAAGACGTGACACTTGGAACCGGATTTAGGTTTGCATCTGACTTGGAATCTAAAGCCAGTTATACAGAACAGAAATGGGATTAACTGGAAACAGAATGTGTAGAAGATCTGTTTTATGACTCACATGTGCAGAAATAAGGAATTACTCATTTTTTGCAAACCTCAGAAATGAAGAAGCTGTCTCTATCAAAAACACTACTTAGCACCTATGACAAAGCACTGAAATAGGGCCAAACATAGCAATGTCTTTAAAGTATGGTGTCTAGGATTCAGGACATTTTAATTCCATTTCCTTATTCTCTGAACCCAACCTGTTTCCTCAATAAATGTACAAGTGTTTAATTGCCATGTAGGAGTCTACACTGTGGGCCCATAAGACAAAAGAACAAGATATCATCCCTTCCTTAAAGAGCCTACAATGAAGTTGGAGAAACATTCCGTACACTCACATGCTTAATGCTACAGGTATGTGAAATGACTTGGCACCAAGTCCAGACCATAGTAAAGTGGCTGAGGTGACATCACGTATGAAGTGGTTAAGAGCACAGGCTTTGGAGTTGTGCAGTCCTGGGCTTCATTCCATCGCTGCCATTTTGAAGTCAACAGACCAGATTTTAACCACCCTGAGCGTGCATTTCTTCTTGGGAGGGTAATTCTACCTGTCTAATGGATTGCTGCAGGGATTCATGGGATGATGTGCATGAAACCTCTGCACACGCTGGCTGCTGGGGTCAGAGAATGGTTTCTTGACAAGGCAGGACATAGGGTAGGCCTTGAACATGAGGGAGGGCATGGAGATGTGAAAGCATGTGGGGACACCATCCAGGTAGAGGAATGTTGTGAGTTAGAATCCTGTGCTGCCAGGTAGGTTCTCAGAAGCTTGGTTCTATCTTGTTTTGTGCTAATAATAGACCTCCAAAACCCAGAAGGAGGCTGGTGCCATGAAAGGAGATGGGCACCAAGCAGTGAACCTAGGAACTGTGCCTTTCTATCTGTGGAAATATTTGTTATGTATATTCATTTATTTATTATTTGGTGCTACCAGCATTTGAACTTAGGGCTTCATGCTTACTAGGCAAGCACTGTACCACCTGAGCCACTCCACCAACCTTGATTTGTGTTGGATATTCCACATAGGGTCTCACAGAACTATTTGCCCAGGTTTGGCTTCAAACCTCAATCCTCCTGATCTCTGCTTACAAGTAGCTAGGATTACAGTTGTGAGCCACCAGTGCCCAGTTCTGAGGAACTATTTAAAAAGTCTACCAGTCCCTTGTGTGATCATTCCTAGTTCATGCTCAACCACTTCCATCTATGATGTTTTGAAGCCTCTGTAACTTCTACCATCATAGGTGGTTGTGGGTTTTCCTGGCCCTGAGGTTGAAGTAGTGAATTTGACAAATGGTAACAAAGACTTGTGTGTATTTTCTTCCTACTACTTGATTCTCTCCAAGCATAGATGGCAGCCTGTGGTCCACCAGGTTTTTTAACTGAGCCCCATTCTTCCTGGGTTAGGATGTGGAGAGGAGAGCAGGATTCTTTTGTTGCATACTCACTCTCTGTCATATCTCTACCACATCCTAATTGAGCCTGTGTAGTTCTATGTTGTAACAATCTGCCTCTGTTTTTATTCCCTATGAGAAGGTGAACTCCCTTCTAAAGGTGGAGATACCTTCCTTGTTCACCTTTATACCTACTGTAGCATTGATGCATAGCATCACCTTTGGAATGTTTGTCCTCTAAACACTATTTATTTTGTATTTTGATTTATTTTTTAGGAGGTACTGGGGATTAAACTTTGGGGCTATGCTTGATAGGCAGGCACTCTACCAAGTGAATCATCAAATCCCATTTTAAAAGCTGTAGAGTTTCTTGTAATAACAAGAAGGAATCTCCTTGAAAATCCTTTTGTAAATAGGAATATTACTATCTGGTAGTGGTTTGTAATTCCTATTACTGGTTACAGGAGTAGAGGGAGAGCATGAGATTGAAGTCTACGATCTGAAGCCTATGTTTTGGATGATCTTATTATTAAGGTCTGAATTGACTATTGACCACTCTGACTGTTTGATTTTATTTCAAATCTACCATATTTTTGGTGGATGATATAAGCAGTTCTAGGATAGCCTAGCCACTGAGGAAGATCAAAGCTGCAAAATACCCAAGGGTTGTGATGCAATCAATCCAGGGCATGGTGAAAGAAAACCCAGAGAAAACTAAAGCCAGGGTGATATTTTGCTTCATAATAGGACTTCCTTAACTAATACTTCAGTAATGTATTTTAATATTTGTAGTAGGAATTTGTATTAATGATCTGTAAACACTCTCACAAGTTACATATGATCAATATATATTATAATCAAATGAATTGTTGACTTTTTGTATTGTAGGGAGCTGTGGTGCGATGACTCTATCCCATCAGAGAGAGAAAGAGAAAGTACCCAGAGGTGGGTTGGAGGCCTGAGAAGGCCTACATGGAGGAAGGTATGGAAGACTCCTAAGGAGACCTGTGGCAAATTGAATAATGGCCTCCCAAAGATGTCCTAATTCCTGTAAACTGTGAATACATCAGGTTACAAGGCAAAGGGAATTAAGGTTGCTGATCAGCTGACCTTGAGGTCAGGAGAGCATGCAGGATTATCTGGATGGGCCCAATGTAATCGCAAGAGTGTTTACGAGTGCAAGAGGAAGGCAGAGAAGAGAACCAGAGAGATCATCTCTAGAAGCTGTAATAGGAAAGGAAAGATTCTGCTAGACTCTCCAAAAAGGAATGTGTCTCACATCCTCTTCTCTTTTATTTCTTTCCTTTCAGCTGCCATCTTTTTTAAAAATAAAATTTGAAAAATGTAAAAAAAAAAAAAACCCTCAGAAATAGAAAATAATAACCACTACTATAGCTTGGCTATGAAATGTCTCCCTAAGGCCCAGGTGTTGAAAGCTTTGTTCCCAACCATGGTACTATTGGGAGGTGCTAGAACCTTTAAGAGGTGGGGCCTACTGGGAGGTCTTCAGGTCATTGTGGGTGTGCTTCTGAAGGGGATAATGGGATCCCAGCCCCTTCCTTGTTCCCTTCTCCCTCCCCACTGGGGATTCTATCCTGGGCCTCAAGCATGCATGGCAAGCACGGTACCACTTGAGCCATACCCCCAGCTTCCTGCATCTGTGAGGTGAGTGCTTTTGCTCCATTACATGCTTCCAAAGCAGCAGAGTCACCTGTCCCTGGACTGAAACCTACTAAACTGTAAGCCAAACCAAACTTCTCTTTATGAGCTGATTTATCTCAACTCTTAAAGTACTACAGTGACAGGAAGCTGACTGACACAACCGCCCACATACCCATCACCCAGAAGCAACAACTCCTAACATTTCATCCTGTTTTCCTAGTCCTTTTATCTATGCATGTCTTCTCTTAAAAATTACCAATAATAAAAATAAGTGATATACATTGGGCCCCCATCTCATTTCCTTCAATCACTTCTCAGGAGCTAACTCCGTGGAGAGTGAGTGGGTATCCTTCCATCCATTCTAATAATTTAACATCCTGCTATTCAAAGTGTGGACCACAGAGCAGCAATGCTGGCATTAGCTGGGAGCTTGTTAGAAGCCAGCCCTGTGGTTTAAGAAAATCTCCTGGGGCTTCCTATGCCGATTATGAGACGCACTGTGTTATTGTAACATAGCTGTCCGTAGTGTATCGCATTGTTCTGTGTGTCATGCAAAATGTTTCTGCGCACAGGAAATCAATGTGAGTCAATGCCCTGTATAGCTATCCTTATCTCAACCAGCAAAACCCCTTGTTCCTTCCTATTATTGCTTATACTCTCTCTACAACAAAATTAGAGATAAGGGCAAAATAGTTTCTGCTGGTATTGAGGGGGGGAGCGGGAGGGGTGGAGTGGGTGTAAGGGAGGGGGTGGGGGCAGGGGGGAGAAACAAACCAAGCCTTGTATGCACATATGAATAATAAAAGAAAAATGAAAAAAAAAAAACAAAAACAAAAACAAAATGTTTCTAGATGGCACCATACTAGCATCACTCAAAAGTTGCTTTAGAGAACTAATGATGCTAATACAGAGCTAGTATATCCCTTTCTCTGTGTGAGTGTGTATGTGTGTATGTCTGTCTGTCTGTCTGTCAGTCTGTGGTACTGGGACTTTGCACATGCTAGGCAAGTGCTCTACCACTAGAGGCAGGCCTCAGCTCCTCCAGTACATTCCTTCTTAACTTGTTAAAGAAAATTCACATTTGTGTGGCTGATAATGAAATCTGTTATTAAATCAATATGTCAATAGCATTGGTTTTTTTGTATTCAGGTACAAACACCCTTTTTTGTTGGTTGTACTGGAGTTTGAACTCAGGGCCTCACTCAGGGCCTCACTCTAGCACTTGAGCTTCTCCACAAGACCTTTTCTGTGTTAATTGTTTTTGAGATAGGATTTCTAAAACTATTTGCCCAGACTGGCTTCAAACTGCATTCCTCCAGTCTCTGTCTCCCAAGTAGCTAGAATTACAGGTGTGAGCCACCAGTGCCAGGCTCACAAATACTCTTTTCTTTAAAAGAATATACAATGCAACCATTTATTTCCTTGTAGCATTACAATCACAGGGAGAGTGTACTTCCTAAAAAGAAGCAATTTCTGTTGGTGTCCATAAGACTAATTGTTACATAACTAAGGGGAAAATGAGGTTATAAAGTCCAGATGTCTTAGCATCATTGAGGGAT